GCAAGCCTTTTAAGTCATAATGGGTACCTGGTGGTTTGGGGGCGAGGCTCTCTGATAGAATATGAAAGAAACTTGATATCCGCATAAAGTATTCTTCCAGTATGTCACCATATGTGATGCACCGGCAGTTCACTTTGAGCTATATAACTTAATGGGAAAAATGAGGAGTATAATCTTCTGAGCAACATGCACATTCCCACTGGATTAATTATTAATTTAGTTAACTACATTTTTTGAATTTTAGATCAAAGCCCTATTCACTGGCAATGTCATTGTGGGACAAATGTATGCAAGCTTCCTCACCTTTTCAGAAACTGCATGTACTCTGTGTGCTTGATGAGACCCGTCCTCATCATGATCGTCTGAAAACATTGTCGGTCGATGGCCCACAGCTTCACGTTTGTTAGTGCTGGAAAGAAGAATACACATTAGCAATGTCAAGTGAAAGACAGTTTTTACCCTTGGACAAAATTGGATTAATAATGCAGCCGATCTTCTTACACGTCATACATGCCCTGCAACAGCTTGATGCTTTGGGCATGCACAATATGGATATGGTGAATATCACATGCCTTTTTAAAGCATTGAATATGGAACTGGAGATGTGACAAGAATGATAGTTATTATAGTATATTTAAACCAAAGTCATACTGGTATCTTTAAAGAGGAGAAATCAGTGGACCTTTTTTAATGTTATGGTATTGTATTGTTGGCTAGAACTGGCATCCAAAACTTTTCTCTAGCTGATGGTTAGGCTTGGAAAGCAAACGGGAGGCATTCTTGACAATTAGTCTTGTTCAGAAGTTGGAGCTAATTGGTGTTTTTCTAATACCTTGCATGGATGGCTTGCTTCAAGTTACGCTACAGTGTTTTAATTGGTTTAAGGTCAGGAGTCTGGAATGAGTATGCTTAAGTCTTTTTATATATATATAGTTTTTTTAGTTGAACGTCTTGATTTTCTGATTGCTCTGTGCGTTAAGGACAATTATCAAACTTTGTGACAAATATACGTTTTAAATTACAACCAGCTACCCTTGCTATTCTTCTGTACATATCCCCAAATAATATGGAAATGATTGTCCCGCTAATGATCGCAATCTGCGCTGGCCCAGAGGCTCCAACTCCAAATCATAATGCTCTCTTTACTCGGATCAAATAGAGGTGAAATCGTTTTCTCCCCATTTTTTAAATGTAGCATTTTCTCTCTTTGGCCACAGAGCATTTCTCCATTGAACGTCAATGTAAAATGTCCACGTTTAGTGATTTTCTAGCTGTGGTTCGAACATAGCCAGTGCGAGAGATGCCCAGAATGCATTGCTTCTTTTTTGACACCACCTTGATTAATGTAAAGTTCTCTTGCAGCAATCCTTACAGAATAACCAGTCTTTCAAAGATCAGAAACAATGCTAAATCTCATCCATTTTCTTCCAGTTGTACACCGGACTGGTGATTGATTCGAGGCCTGGGTCTTTCGAAATTCCTTTCTCTTGTCTTTTTCAGGGTTTTCTGACTCAACCGCTCTTTTTCTGAAGTCCTCACTTTTGATCAGAATATATTTCACCTTGAAATATATCTCTGATCTGAAGAGCTGACTTTTTTCCTGGCTTTGCTGGTTTTCATCAGAGCAGTGAACCTATAACCCGCACCTAGATGTCATTGCATTTCTACATTCAGCCCAATTTCTTAGAAGAAACTGGGTCGTAGGGGCAACTATAAAATAAATATTCAGTGCTTCTTTTATGTCAAGGGCAGTTTATTGCAATACTTTTTAGAATAGCTTTGGGGTTTTCCCAGTTCATTATCTTTTGCAAGAAATGCTTTCATTTCGACTTCATACAATACACTGTCAGAGTAATGAAAAGAAAGACTCCAGTCTGACCCCAAAACAAATCTGGAGATCTCCCAGGAGCTTTGTGGCAACAGGGACAAGTAGTAATATTAGAAGAACATTTGTCAGAGAAGACTTAGTCTACTTGGTATTTTGTCTGTTAGATTTTTTGTCTTTCCCATCATCCCAGTGTGACACTTTTTCAGAGTTAAAAGCTAACAATGTGGTATTTATTTATCATCATACAATTATTGTTTTCTTCGATCTGGGCCTGCAGTGTATATCCGATTCTATACACTTAATAAATCCGATGCCCATTGACTTACACACAAACCAACTAAACCAACTAGCAATTGAGACCAAAGGCATGTCTGCACAATTGTAATGAAATAAAAAGTCAAATAAGAAGTAAGGTCGTTTTCTAGACTTCTATAAAAAATTGACCGATTTTTGCAACCAGTTGAGTCGCCCTCTGCTGGATGTTAAAGAGAATTAAAGTTTAAGGCATATCCGCGTTGACCTTTCAGATCGGGGGGTCGATTCCTGTTTTTCTGCATGCCTTTTGGCTCTATGAACACACATACACAAAATGTATACCAGTGGTAACACAACAACTCATAAACTCCAGGATTTCCTGTACATATAAACACACATTATGACTGTTTAGTCGCACACACAACACAATTGTTCCTCTACAGTACAGTCCAAGAGTTTTGCAGCACTTTAAAATAGGGCCAAACCACAGAGGAAATGCCCTCATTTCAAAGCCTGACACTTATTTTAGTTAGAGACACTTTCTTGGAGCAGGAACCCCAAAACACACAGCATGTCATAAAAATGTATACACAAACTGATGTATGTATACACAGTTATGCATGCATCCGGTACAAGCGCGCACAGATATCAGATACACACAGATATACACATAAACAGATGGTAAATGAAAAGACTTACTTGTTTGATATAAATATAGATATAGCCTGTAGATATAGTTTCTAACAACACCTTGAAAATATCTTCTCCAGGTAGTGCACTGACTTATTTTCATAGGCACATTGTTACAGTTGAAATCATGTCTAATCATCTCTTAAATTGTCACCGTCACTGTTGACAATCTCTTTCTCTACAGCCGCTACTGGATGTGTGGTACAGATCGCAAGTTGTTCTTTTATGTTCTTTTTTAACCTCCTGTTAGTTAACTCAGATAGGTACAATACCCAGATTGTGTGCACTCACACATTACATACACACAAATATAACAGTAAGCAATCGTAACACACTAACAAAAACTGTAAAAATATACGTTGTGAAACACTGTCAGCCCGGTAGATTGAAACAATAATACCAGAGTCCATACAGCTTCCATAATATTTTAGGGCGTTAAGGCATTATTGTTTGTTTGTTTTTACGTTGGACTATATCTGGATCTTGTTATATCTTATCCAATGAAAAATTCATATATTTAGGTGTGATTACCCTCGATGTAAACTGAAGGCACAAATAAATGGAGATAGGTCTTGAGAGAAATTATTAGAGTAACCTTCTAATTTGACCCCAAAGTAACAAGAGTGGGAGGTTAGACGTATTCTACCGCTATGCAGAGTGCAATGGAGTGTTTTGGCGTGTGGGAGTGTGGTGCACTGGGAAATAAGATATGGAGGGAGCCTGCAGCTCACCGCGGTAGGTAAACGTATTATTTGGAGGCTTGACTAAATTGCGGTGAGACTCAGGGAGCTAGTTATCCTGTAGTGAGGGCGCAGATGAATGTCTTAATGCTCGTGGGTTGCCAACCATTAGCTCCACAACCTTTTGGATGCACATAATACCCAAGGCAGTAGGCCCTACTAGAAAGATTGAAGGATGTCTGTGAACGTTTTCAAATGATTGGGCAGTGTTGATTGTTTTTTTCCAGTGAGGCGATCAACAGCCATGCAGACTCTACATTTATGCAACAAGTGTTTACTGCTTATACTGAACAAACGGTAAACACAGGATAAACATCACATTGATGCAAACCAACAGAGACCTGATAATAAGTGGGAATATGGCCTCCACTTTTTAAGCAAAGTGGAGGCCAATTTGTCTAGATTCCATTGTATTGTTGTTGCATCGAATTGTAACTTATCTAATGTTATCCTGTGATAACTGTGTTCGTTATTCTCGCGTCCAGGAGAGAAGCTTTAAAAAAGGAGACTAATGGAGTCTCTGAGAAGGTTGAAATGGTTACTTTAATTAAAAAAGGCGCTGGTAATGTTACAAGCAGAAGATGTTAAGTGAGAAAAACAGCTGTGTTCTCGGGGGTCAGGGGTGAAAAAGAGAGCCAGAGAAACACACTTTCAGCTGTTAAATACCCCCTGGTGGCTCCTCGATCATCTGCCGGTTGGCGTTGTAGGGGGTATTCCCTCCTCCGATCTTCCATGTTGCTCATAACGGAGGATTCAGACATCGTACATTCAATATATACTTAAACACGCCTCTTCTCCTCATATTCTCTTTCATCACTTTTCATTTATTGCAATTTTACGGCTGTAATTCATACTTTAAAAATACTGGAAATACTTCACGGCATTTTGGTTTCCGGGGAGTTCCGGATGTTGTCACATGCTACCCACGTCTGTAAACAATAACGTATTCAAATAAACTGTACCTTCATTTAATATTCAGCATTAATGATATCTCGACGTCTATAGTTGTAGTGTTGAATCAGTAGGTTTCGGTTTGCATCACTCCATGTCATTTCGCTACTAAATTCACGTCTATAGGAAATGGTATATTAGCCACATGCTAAATGCTAACCGGAGATGAAGACTTTTCAGAATAAAAGCTTAACAACTGGTTGTGCACGAGAATTTCTCTTTTTTTCAGTATAAAACAGCATTTAAACTGACGGTATGTTTAAGCTACATTATACCATCAATACATTGATTTTAATTTCTAACAGTACCAAATGTACTTGTAAATCACTTTGGATAAATGGGAAGCTTGCCAAACCACTGAACAGCCCCTAAGGACCACTGCACGGCAACTCAAACCTGCTCACTTAAAGCCATTAGAGTATATTCGCTCCTCTCCCTCCAGCCACACAAGGCATGGATGGCTCCCAAACAGAAGTGGTAATGAGGTCCTGAGCATTCTCGCGGCTTCACACACTGAGACACCGGAGCACCGAGGGCCAGGTCGGTCAGCTGCAGGGAGCCGAAGCACAGAGAGTCCCGTAGTCCACCGGCTCACCTGGGACCGTAAGGCAAATGTGATCCTGACACATTGTTCTGGCATGCATAAAAGGGTCTTTTCAAGGGTCCTCAGGGGAGACCTGGGAGCCTGATCTTAAAGAAGGAACAGTGACGTTGGTTTCATGGTTCTCCCTCCTATCGACCTTTTTTAACGGCCTCGTTTATGAGAAGTTGTCCTATGACTCATGCGACTGTTACTCTTGTTCAGGAAGTGGTAACATAATAAGCAAATTAACCCACTCTTTTCTTCTGTTTTTTTTAAAGAATGGTCAGGCCAGGCTGCCCAGTCATTCTGATCCACCTCTTCAGCATCTTTGTGCAGTCAGGAGGTATGAGTCAATGTCTTTGTCTTCTAGGGTGGAGAAACGTCATTTCAATGAGCCCTTATGCCTTATCTTTCTTTTGTAGCTCGTACTCGGGAAATCCTGTATCCATATGGACCCAACCACAGGGATCTAGAAACCCCAAAGATGGATGATGGGAGTTCTCCTGAAATTACTTTAAGCACTAATTTCGTTTTCTTCAATGCACCATACCGTATCATCTATGTAAGTCTTGACCCTAGCTCTTGTTATAAAGTTAGATTTGAACAACGTATTTGCAATGTAGCTGAAACACTGTTTTTTTTCTGTCCACAGATCAACAACAATGGTGTGATCTCCTTCAACGTGCAGGTTAGCCAGTTCACACCGGAGGCTTTCCCTCTGAGCGACAGCAGATCCTTCATTGCTCCACTTTGGGCCGATGTGCACAACGGCATCCGAGGAGATGTGTACTACCGAGAGACCACTGAGCCGGAAATACTGGAAAGGGCTACACAAGATATTCGGAGATACTTTAAAAAGATGCCCGCGTTTACAGCCACCTGGGCCTTTATTACAACATGGCACCAAGTCACCTTCTATGGAGGAAGCCAGACAACCCCGGTAAAGTTCTCAATCACCTAATAAAACATTTGTGTTGCACGTATACACAGTTCCAGAGTTTAACCTAGCTTAGCAACTGCTAGCCTAGGTGGATAAAAACTAAAAATGCCTTTTAACATTTGCTCATCTGACAAAAAAAACGCATCTCGTCTTTAGCTTAGGGTGACCAGACGTCCCCGTTTTCCGGGGACAGTCCCCGTTTGTATTGGCCTGTCCCCGGTTGAAACTGTCCCCGGCAGTATCTACTTTTTGTTGGAAACAAACAAACTACAGAAACAAAGATAGGTATCAAAGTTGGTTTAAGTTAATAANGCCAATCAAATCGCAGGTAGTAGGTCTCAGGTAATCAGCCTCACTTGGCATTACATTTGTGATTTGGGGGGGAGATTATATATTTAAAGCATAATCTTTTAATCCACAATAAGCACATAATAATGTTTTGTTGCCAAGAAGCATATCTAATACAGAGAAAGATGTGATTAATTTGAGTTTAAGAGCAAACACATTCAGGTCCTTCAGAGTCTTCCTCCCAAACTGCTGTGAATGAACATATTTGCTCTCACAAGTTGTGTAGGAACACAAATGAAATACTGACAGACAAATCCCACATGGAATAACATACAGGAAGTAAGTGTGCTTGTGAATAGCTTGTTTTATTGCCTCTTCCAAGCATGTATTTGATATTACTCACATTGCTCCAGGAGGAGATACTACACGATGGTGTGTAATGAACTGACAAACATCGCCTAGGTTTGCAAAACACATATTGCTGCAATTTATTTGTTTAAGGGTTGGTGGGCTTTTACTCAACCATCTGCCTCCTTCCACTTTAGATAAAAGTCTCGCTATACGGCATGAAATAACAAAGCCATCTGCCCGATGATTTGTGAAGAGCTCAGAAGAACGATCATAGAAATGCATTAATCAAGACAAAACACTTCACCAAAGAAGTGCCAATTTCTCACAGCTTTTTTCAGGTGATTGGAAAATCGCGACAGAATTTATTAAAGGTTGTCCCGTACTTTACTCACGTTCAAACAGTAAGGAGGTTTATTTGATGTTAGAACGTTTCAAATGATCAACAACCCTGCATTAGTGAAACCACACTTTCCCATTGGCCTATTATAATGAATTAATTTCCTGTAACACAGTTAATATGTTAAATGTAAATGAACTGCAACAGACGCTTATTGTTTGTGTCAACAGCTTCACAGCTCAAGGGATTGTAACTCCATATGTTTCATGTAGAGTGGGGTCATCTGTTCACTGCCTAGCTGATTAACTAGAAGCAACAACACGAGGATCAACACAGCAGCTAGGGCCCGGGTTGGGGGGCAAGACGAAATGGTTCAGATTACTGTAATAAAGCATGGAAAATGAGGGGAAAGAGGGAGATGGAGAAACACTGAGAGAGAAAGATGATATGGTGAGATAAGTCCTTTGTTCGCCAACAGGGGTTATTTTCTCTCGTCCTTCATAAACATTGGGCCAGTTTTATTTAGTAAGCTTGATAACAGGCAGATAGCATTCATTGAGGATGCCGGGAGGCCAACGGAAAACAAACATTAGGGCCTCATACTGGCATATTCAACCAAAGGACCAGCTTTCCTGCCGTGTAACTAGACACGTAGCACACTCCATCCTGAAATATTAATATGTATATACTGTAATGCAATATACAGCCCAGCTCCCATAACATAATATTGATTTTTATGTGTTCCTGTTGCCTGTGTTTATGTGCATATGTTCACCGCACATTAAAGTGTTAAGATCACTGTTAAGATCGCGGAAAAGGTAGGACCCAAATGCAGACTACAAAAAAGGTAAAAGGTCTAGAAATAAAATCGAGCTTTATTTAAAAGCTGATAAACAAAAACATGGCATGAATCGAAAACATAGATAGCACAAGGTAGCATAAACACACAAAACTGACCATGACCAACAAGGAGGGAGACAGGAGAGACAAACAATGAACCGACAGGGGAACACAGGAAAAGACAAGACTAAATACAGAGAGGGGTAATCGCAGGACAAGAAACAGCTGGGCAGGGGAGGTAGAAACACAAGGGCAACAGGTGAACACAATTAGACAATCAGACACAGGAGGAAAAACACAGGAAGGAAGACAAGAGACAGGGAGAACAGAATTACAAAATAACACCCAAAACAAGACAGACTAAACTAAAAACGTGACATAACATTGGGATCGTGACATAAAGGTCTGGTCTTTCTGGTAAACTCTTTTTAAAGCCTCGACAGATACTTCGCTGATATCAACACTGCTTTTTCTTTCTTTTTTTCTACAGCGTTCCTACATTCCACGACCTGCAGGAAGACATTCTGAGCAAGCTTGCTGATATCCTAGAGGAGGTAAGTGCCTTGTTGTTAAGCCTGAAAAATCAGATGTCACAGGCCTACTCCACACATCTTAAGAGGTTTCTATACATTAACGTCCTTTTGATGTAGTCAGGAGGGGAGCCAGAAGGGAGAATGAAGAGAGGATGGAACGTGAAAGTGTGCATTGTGGGATTTAAGAGTTGTTGTTACTTAGTTTTTATTTTTGTTTTAGCTCAGTGTGGTGATGTTGAATTAATGCACCAACTACTAACTGAAAGTTAATTTCATGAACAGTTCAGGAGAGTCTGAATTTATGTAACCATTTCAGCTTTCGAAGGGCGCCAAACAATGTAAGCAAAGTGAGGCACAGCGTAATTGATTTCAGTTAATGATGCAGGGTGCCTGTTAAATGTCAGCACGGCAACCTACCTTCAGTAGTTAATTGTTTCAAAGTGAACAAACTAATTTCACAGTACCATTATTTTAATGTAAACCAATGGCTGACTGCAAGGCAGATAATATACTCCTGAAACTCTACACTACAGCTTGTGTTGCTTTGATATGCAGTTGACATAAATGGACGAAATGGAGGCATGCAAAATCATTTGTACGTCTCTCTAACTGTTTTCTTCACGCTGGTGACACTGTTCGAGTTCCATTCCTTATTTATCAACTTCATAACATTTACAGAGAGGAAGTTGTTGGGAATAAAAAACATTGAACAAACAATAACTATAAATACATATAAAAAAGGAAAATTAAATGCAAGTAAAAACAAAATAAGAGTCTAAACTTAAATGAGTACAAGTTTAAATAATGTATTAAAATAGATCATGGATCATTACTTCCATTAATTGCAATACATGATCCCAGTGTAAACAGGAAGGTATTAATGTTAAATGAGTGCAAGTTTAAATAATGTATTAAAATATAACATGGATCATTACTTCCATTAATTGCAATGAATGATCTCAGTGTAAACAGGAAGGTATTAAGTGTAGATGCCAGTGGACATTTTGTGTCTCAATAACACATCTCTACCCATCTGCACACCACTCTGTTTGATGTTTTTTCCAGCATAATTTAGTTATGCAAACACGTTTACACTTGTGTGCTGCTAACATCCAGACTTCAAATAAGGCTTCTGGCTGCTTTTGTTATTCAATGACACCGAGTGTACATTTGCATTCATTTATGTAGCTAAGATGAATTAGTTCCAGATCTTTTAGATTTTATGAAAAGATAAAGTACATTTAATCAAACAAATGTTATTATCAACTGAGGACCATTACATTTTTACCATGGTTTTGAACTATATTTTCAAGTAGTGTATCCTGTAAAAAAAGCAAATGATTTGTTTTAGTTTAAAACATCCCTTAGTTCTTTAATGAGAACAAAAACAATTGCAGCCACCCCCTCAATTTACTGACTATAATTACTTTAAGAACGAGCACAAAGACAATTTTCAAAGCTGTAATTAGTTACTTCAGAAACAATTAAACAGAAAAAAGAGAAGGCAGCAAATTCAGAGTCTCATTAGTTGAGTTGTCATACCTGATGTAAGGAATAAGTCCTTGACTGACAGGAAAGCATGAAAAATGACCACAAAGTCCAATTTTCTAACTGCGCTGCGGTGAATTGCATTAGGCAAGCCAGCGACCCTTGGATTCCACATCAATGCAGAATAGTTTAACTACATGTAGCACACGCCTCTTTTTATTGTATTTTAGTCCGCCTTAATATACATGTATCTTATTAAAAACAGCATTTTATTTATTGAAACACGAAGATCCAATACAAAGAGAAGCATCCTACACATCCACTGTTGTAATACAATGTTGCATTGAATCATTATGTCACATACCATGAAAGCTAAGAGAAGAGGTAAGAGGCTTTTCCACAAAATAATTTCATACGCATTTGAAATAGAAACCTTAGTAAACTTCAATAGAAATATCTGTCTTACTTGTCCAGTGAAGCAACATGACACTGGGTCACTAGATGTTGATATGTCACATGTACTGTCTTTTTTTTAAGCATCATTGTTACTTGGCAAGTTAGCACGGGGTATTAAAAACATTTAAGAGTCATTCAAACGATATCTATTTGATGATTCCTGAGTGAAATCCTGTGGTTAAGTGCGAGGGCTTGGATATGCGACATGTCCTCTGACTGTGAAATTAGTAAAGATAGGGTGCGTGCGTGCCTAATATCCAACATATAACTAGGGTCCTAGGAGTGCGGTCCCAGGACTGCGGTCCTGAAACTGCAGTCTCCTGGGCTGCAGCTACATGCTACTCGGTTTTAGAGTGGATGTCTGTCTAATATCCAACATAAAACTAACTTCAACGCGACTGACGTGTTTTAAGTGGATAATACACTTTGCTGAGACGCAAAACCAAAAAGTATATACAACTTGTTATAATGCGCCATTCCCCACACAATTCAACCTGTGTTTAATACAAAACTAATGTTAATCAGACTGAGCTCATGATGTTACCTGTCTCATGTTAGGTTCTGCAGCTCTATCGCCCACTTTCCTGCGTTGCTTTTCAGTTAGGGTAGCCATGTTTGCTCTGCCGAACAAAACCAACATCACCACGCTGTAATGTGGCTTTCAAGTTAGGTTATCCTCTTACAAAGATGCTTGGGATCCCGAAAACTATTCTTCACCAGGTTCAATCACCTCTGAACAATTACAAAACCGGAAGCTAAAACCGTGCACTCTGACAAGCTAGCTGTGAGCCATTTTTTCCGTTTGAGAACTCCTCGTTAAATCAAAGTATTTTACCACGGGTTGGTTTATAACTATAGCTGGCGAATAGTGGACATACACTGAGGTATTTAATCTTAAATTAGTGCTTTGACTTCTGTAAAAGATAATCCACATCGTTCATTCATGGTGACTGTAGTATCTGCCTTTAAAAAAAAAAATGTAATCAACTGACAAACGCCAGCCAATTACGAAATCCACTCTTGGCAAATAGCCAATCAAATCGCAGGTAGTAGGTCTCAGGTAATCAGCCTCACTTGGCATTACATTTGTGATTTGGGCCATGAGCCAGGGCACTTGACCTGACATTGCAGCTATCCACTCATAATTGTCTCTTGAGTACAGCACAATTAAAACACCATTATAAAACTGTTATATCAGCCAATGACACTGAAGTGTATAATAATGATAATTTACAGGAGCAACCAAGGTTTTATTTAGGCTTATGTCATGCTTAATCCAAAGAAATACAGAACCAAGGTTATCCTACATAAAAAAATACCCTTTGATTCATTTGTACACTGATATGTATACACAATATTGCACTATAGCACAATATACTGCATGAACATAGTTATATGGTTTGACTATTATACTGCCGTGTCATTCTCCATGACGGTTTATAATTGTCAATACCATAGCACAGTGTTTGTGACTTGAACCATAATGTTGTATTTATACCATGGTCAATTAAATTAATTGTAGTAGCTACTAAGCGTGCTGTGTTACAATTGCTGTCGCAGCATGGAGGTTTTCCTATAAGTTGGTTAAGATAAAACTGAGGATAAGGCAAAGACCTACACCGCTAAAAAGCTCAGCAGGTTGACCCATCACTCAAGATAAGCAGTTCAACTCAGCAGGACGAGGCTGATGTGGTGTTGCAGGGCAGGACATTCAAGAAAAGGAAAATGAGCTGAGAAATAACAACCTCTACAGAGAAGGATAACGCCATCAAGAAAAAGAAAGAGGTTGTGGGAAAGTACATTGGAGGGAGGCTTTAAGCCACCCACAGCCAAACAGTGTGAGCGGGAAAGTGTAACACAGGGGGAAACATGGCTAAAGGAAACTGTGAGTAATGTAAGCGCTAAAAAGCGTTCTCATAGATTTTGGAATATCTGTCTTGTATAATAACTAATCTGAAAATATATTTGACAGCATGTCAAAATAAGTCTGTGGGGCGATATATGGTACACTTCTAGTGAGTGTTATCATAAAATGTTCACATCACTGCGATGAAATGGTCTTTAATCAGAGTGCAATCTATTTTCCAGCAATTAAACAAATTAATGCAATTATCTTTTAAGCTTGGTACAGGGATGGCCTTTCAGTGAGCTGAGAGAATATACACAATGTCCATCCTGTGAAAATTAAATGTTTTGCTTGGCATTCAAGCTTGCTAATACATGCTCTCTTGATTAATGTGTTTGCACTGTTAGCCGAGGGACATATTAGTGGATTGTATTTGTATTTATTAAATTAATTGACTGATGATTGCCATTATTCCACAATCAACCAATCAATGGGATGTACTGAAGATGGTCCATCCAAAGTTTCTTCTATTTAAAAATAAATAAATATTGGTTCCATGTACCGTACTCATAGAGGTCCTAAAGGTGCGTGGTGCTGGGTCATGATGACTTAATCCATCATGCTGTCCTTTGTCTTGTCCTCTACTATAATAGATCATTTTGGTCTTTGATTGATTTTTGATTAGAACGGCACATTTGTTCCTCTCTTTGAGGACATGTCTAAGAAAAGGGCTTCATTATTTAAATAGTAAACCTGTTCACAACTACAACCTACTATTAACAACAAGCTTTTGAGTTGAGACACATGAATCACACACATGTGAAATATTGTGAGAATAGAAAACTGGCAACGTAAGAGGCTACTTAGGATCAAACAGGAAACACATCATATTGTGTATTTTGCTGTGAAGAAAAGGTTGTTTTATCTATATTTGCTGGCCTTGTGTTCGACTGCAGACCAGTACAGAGGTTAGGCGTATGCCTATGGATTGGCAGCACCGACCCTGAACTGCCTTACTTTGTATTAAAGATGGATGGTTGGATATTATAACTTAAATCTTGGAAAGGAGGTTTTATTTTCCTTCAGATTGAATGTGGTAGCTTTCATATTTCACCTATTTTATTCGCTTGCTGATTCATGTTGAAGGTCACAGGACCAATCCAAGCGTAGAAGGCAGAAAAACACCCTGCACAGCTTGCAAACAGTGTGCTATAACTAATAAAAAGTCTCCTAATGTATTTCATCTAACAGCACCCAATTCAGTCTTGCTTCCTTTGAAAAGTACTTTTAGGGTCTGATGAGAGAGGCCTACTCCCAATGTGAGAAAGAAGACAAAATGTCATATTCTGCCTGAATAACTTTTCTTTTATCTGGTCTCCTCTTTTGACAGACGCATTATGGAGATGGAGAATACATCATCAGACAGGGGGCCAGAGGAGACACCTTCTTCATCATCAGTAAGGGAAAGGTGAGCAATGCATCCAGCCGACCATCAAAAAAATCCTCACACTACAAAATGGAGGGCAAAACTGACAAAATATACCTATATTTCAAGCAAAGTGGTAGTATTTGGGGTAGAAGTTGGCTGCCATCAATCATCTTGAGATAGAGGAGAAGCTGTCTCTGTCAGCATCTCTTGCAGATGCTCTGGGAGTATCTAGAAAGGACAATGGAGTCGCTTTAATTTCACCTCCGTCTCCACACTGGCTTTCACGCCGAGAACAGATGACAAGAAGTCCAGTACAGCATTAACAAATTCGATGTGCTTTCATGTGCTTATCATGTTTTTTGGTGCTGCTTCTCTTCCTTTTCATATGTCTCCCTCAACGTTTTCTAAAGCCTTTTTCTGTTTCTCCTTCCATTCTTATGTTTTTCTCGCACACCCTCCACTACCCCTTCTTCCTCTACATCATTATGTTTATGTGTAGACAACATAATTATCAGTGTTAGAGGTCATCTCAAATACATTTATAATCAAAGTCTGCGTATGAAAGATGATGGTGTGCCTGGATGGGTCAAAGAAAACAGAAGACTTTCACCCAGAAGAAGATTTAGTAATTGTATTGCCACTTCAATACCATTTATCCTTGGAAACATACTCGGTAATGAAGTTTAGTTAGAAAATAATGTTGTAGGACACAGTGTTGCTTGAAGATTGATTGAATACATACATACATCAAATTCCCCCCTACTTCCCAGTGAATGAGACAAATTTCACAGTATTTTCTAACAAATTACCCAGGATGTCATTGTAGAAAGGATGAAGATACAACATATTTCCAGTCTTTTTTATCATCCATTGAATAGATCCAACCCACCCACAAGGTCGGCTCAAACTACATCAGAAACACACACACACACACACACACACACACAGACAGACAGACAGACAGACAGACAGACAGACAGACAGACAGACACACACTCTTCTGACCTTATCAATGCTTTAAACTTAGATTTGTCAACATCTCTCACTTTGTCTCCATCTAGACAACGGATGGAATGCTCTGTCTAGAGGACATTCCAACAAATGTTGGCATCTAACAACACACACTCTGCCCTTTATCCTATAAGTCCCTCTGCTTCTCTTTCTTCAGCGTTTCCCCCTGGATAATACATGATCACATTAGATTAGATGAATGATTATGCTGTCACTTAAGTGTTGGCACCATTACATTATGGACAAAGTGGTCACGCTGCTTCACCTGTGCAGAACTGACAAATGGATGAAGACAAAGTCCTTCATTAGAAAACCGTCTCCATTCACTTCCTCCAAAAATCGACGCAAATGTCATCCCTTTGATTTGTAAAGTCTATCGCCATAGCACAGTGCCATCACTCACATGTCGTCTGGCTAATGAAGTGGTCAGCACTCGTCCCAGTTCCTTGCAGAGATGGCCGTCACCTACTTGTAACAGACTACTGAGGCACAAAGACTTCTGTCACACCAGCTACTCTTCACTGACTGTAATTGTGTAAATACCTGACCATCTTGATAGATTGCATTCATGTCACTTTCTTTTGGAATGATGTGTAAATTAAATGTCCTCTCCCATACGTCTCTACACTGTTACACATAACAACGTCTTTCTTTACTATTTTCCCATCTTCCACCTTGTCACGCTATTCTTCTGTTTAACTCTCCTCCACTTGCATTTCCCTCCTTTCACCAGGTTAATGTGACCAGGGAAGACGTGCCCAATGGAGAGCCTGTCTACCTGCGCAGCCTGGGGAAAGGAGACTGGTTTGGAGAGAAAGCATTGCAAGGGTAAGATTGTTCCTAATAACACTGCCTCTTCCAATTTAAATCCTCTGTTCTTCCACTGTTTCCGTCTCATTCGCTGTCACCCGCTTCCCTTCTAATTTTCTTTCGCAAACCTTTCTCTAATATCCTCTCCCTTGTACTAAACGTGCATCTTTCCTTTGTAATTTTCTATCAATCAGCCTCCAGATCTTGTCTGTCCCTTTTTTTTCAGCAACTCACTATGAAAGGCGAGATGACATGTTAAGTGTTTGGAAATGCTTAATGCCAGACACACATAACACAACTTCTGGCCTGATTTATTGTAGCTGTTGCAGACACATTTTTGAGATTTGACTCAATCTTTTACTGAATCATAGAAAATCTGATGTCATCAGAAAGTCATATGCATCCAGATGTTTTTTTTTATCAGATTCAATTTTTTCAGGAACGGAAATATGTTGAGATAAATTTTAAGCAGCACACATTTTTAACTGATTGGTTATGGAATCATATTTCTATGTCACATGTAGACGTTGAGAATATCTAAAAATGCAGTTATTTGACCTCAAACCACCTTTGCAGAAAACACAAATGAGGGCACAGACAACTTAGGCATACTCCTCTATATTAAGCTATATTTAAGTCCGAATCAAAATAATTTCATTTCATTGTAAAATGTTTATTTTCAACTGACAATGGAGACCCCTCTTATCCCACCAATTCACAGCCTGTCTTTGCAAACAGCTATATCACACAGAAACTACAGGGAATCAGTTATTAATTTGAGTGGATTTGGAGCTTGACAGTCGTACATTGGCCTCACAGTTGGAGATTAATTTCATTTATACAATTTTATCTATATGCCTCTTAAGAATCTTTTGTCTTTTCCTCCTACTTCCTGTCTTGGTTGCCAAGCTTTGTGATATCAAGGATATCTTCATACTGTCCTTGACTAATGGAGTTGCACACTCTTTTATGAATATTTGGCTGATGAGAATACAGATAAAGATGTGATATGCAGATATAAGCCAAGCATGAGTAGTCCTCAGTATTACAAACATATTATATAATATTAAAGGCTGTGCCAGGAAAATATGTGAAGATGTACGATGAAGGCCACAAGGCTCAAGCGTTGGAATGTTTGTTTGGCTTGAATGCATCGAGATTAGTCTGCTTTGTCCTAAAGATCTGTGTGTCCAACCATTTTACATTTGGGTATTCAACAATGTACTGAGGGGAGTTTGTTTGGAGTAACCACACTGTAGGGCATACTGTAGGGATCAGATGACACGGCTTTGGCTAACATTCAGTTCACAGTGTTCAAATACTTTCACTGAAAGAACACTTCAGTGTTCAAAGATATTTTGTATGGCTTACAGCATCAAAGCCCAGTGTCCTAAAGGGATTCTCACTTAGCTGTCATGACTGTACACCTCCCTGAACAATGTGTCATTTGAATAGAGGCAGGGAAGAGATACAAAAGTGTGTTATGTCTGTAAGGGCTCAGGTAGAAACAGAGAACATAGGCTCTCACGAGAGATCGTTTGAATGCTTGCAAGCATATAGCCAACAGTGTCAACATCAGAAATGGAGATGTCGCCATCTTGTGGTCACTGAATGTAAAAACTGGGTAAAGCTCTTGACAAAAGCACATACACAAACAAATGGTATACACTTTAGAATGCCAAGATACGTTAATTAATTCAAAGCAGTGTCCTGCGGAAATAAATGACACCTTTTTGTTGTCAAAACACACCATAAATCCTTGTTTTTACTTTCAAAAGGAGGACTCAGGATGCTAGATGTGATGTTCAGGCGACAGCTGGACTTTCACAGATGGTTGGGTCTCCCCATATGTTGAAGCTAATGACCAATAGAATATAAAAGATGACTGAGCATTAATATGCATGCAGAACATGTGAGGCACAGGAAGCTTGATCTCTTGGCAGTGGGAGGAGCAGGTTGTTCCAAATAGAAATCTGATCCTTTTACACTAATGAGACGTAGAAAACGTGCTGTTTGATGAATGACAGCACCCTAATTTATAATGGATGGAACAGCTGTGCTACTTATGTGTCGTGCTATAAGAATGTTCCCGGAAATGATTTCTTAAAACGAGTGCTACTTTAGTGCAACTTAAAAGGAAGAAGGATAATTTTTTGATATGCACATACACGCATGATAAATAATTAAATCCTTAAATGTATCAATATAGTTACATTAATACATTTGAAGTGTTTCCCTTAATAATAGTGTGCAGTTTTGAATAGCTCTTCAAAGCACCTTGAGGAGCATCTCATGCTTTGTTTAATCAAGAGAACCACATCTTTTCTACATCACTAAAACAAAGTGCTCTCCCAACCTCAGCATCTGCTTAGTATTATTAACATGTTTTTTGTCTGCTCGCCTTTTGTCTTGGAGTGTCTTGAGCAAGTGAAGCCTATTCAACTACACCTTTGATGGTCAAGCATGTCTCATACATTTACATGATTTGAAAGGCTGGCCATCTTGGACCAAGGCTTTTGATAATAGGGCTCTTCTGCAGGGCTATATTTGTAATCAGAAGTTAACTGTGTGGCTCAATAGACTACTCATACACTGCTCTGTGCATCTCCAGGAGTTGCCTTTGATCTATTAGAACAACATTTTTACAAATCAAAGTCGGTTCTCCTTCTAGCCATAATGGTTTTGTTCGAGCTTGTGTGAGTGCTGTTGTGTGATGTGTGTACATAAAAGGAGCTGATGAAATATCAGATTACATGGTTTTTACTAAAGGGTTAGCGCTTAATGCATGCTTCAGTGCAGTTGGTGGATGTTCCAGGAAAATATAAACCTACAACATCTCTCATGACACATTCTACTTGTCATGGTGAAGTGTGAACTTCCAGTCGAGGTGTACACTAGATCCATCTATAGCACAGACAATGTGTGACCTCCTCTCCCGGGGGGCATGTTCCAGGAAGTCATGATAGATTGGTATTAAATACAACTGTGACGTCACTGAATGCAATGTCATTTGTGTCCGTGTTAGATCACTTTCAGACCAACAATAGCCCTCTGAAATGTCACCCTTAGAGACAATGTTGCTGTGGGCATGTTGCCACAGGTACGAGTGAGAAGATGAACAAACTAGCCAACCGAGAAGGTTTAGAAGATATCAACACTGCACAGCATCTTTCACTGATTCGTGGTTGTGTTTCAACCTAACAATGAATTCCCCTAACATTTGGCACAGACATTCATGGTTCTAAGATAATGTGTCCTAAGGACTTGAGTGATACCCTGGCTTTGGAATTATTGGATGGATAGCCATGAAATCTGTTGCAACAATTAATGTAACTCCTCAATTCACTTCGCATTCACTTTGGGGATCCTGTAACTTTTCATCTGGCACATCATCTTTTACATTTTTCAAAAACTTTGGGTGTTACTATACACCTAAAATGACATTGCCCATCAGACTCATCTGTACTTTGTGTTTTGAGCTAATGAGCAAAAATAGACACACTTAAGATGATTAACATAGTAAATATGTTGTCTTGTAAACATCAGACTAGTCATATTGTAATTTAAGCATGCTTATCCTAACTTTTGTTTCAGTTTAACAGAGATGATAGCATGACTCTAGAGTCTTCTTACATGTAAGCTTGAACAAATTATTTTGGACAGTTCACCACAATCGTCTCAATGAAATGAATTATACCTTTTAGCAGTCTGAATGAGGCTTTGTAGAAACACATCTCTCATCCTCAACAAGTAAAGTCCTAAACTTCTGCCATCTGTATATTTTAGCTACATATCTATAGTACAGTTTGTTCCTGTCTGTATCCTCTGTATTTTTTACTTTACCTTAAAGCTTACAATACATTTTTAGACTAAATACATTTATTGTTTACAGCTACTGCTCTACCATCAAAGCAAGAAAAACAACTAGCAGAGATGTGAAGCTTTTTTGAGACTGCTTGAGAAGTACTTAGTCCAAAGTGAATCCCATGTTGCCCATTTTTAGTTTGGAAACATGCACGATTTTTGTTTTGTGGTGCAGTTATGAGACTTTCCCACAGGAGAAAAAAATGTATTTTAGGTGTTGGAACCCAAGGGGGCATAGGGATGGGTGGATGGGAGAGCGGAAAACAGCACTCAGAGCAACCAGAGTCAGAAGCAGCTAAACCCCTGAATTTACAAAATAAGAAACAATTTCACAAAGACTATGCATCATTAATGGGCTCATTTGTCAACTACAGACTCAGAAATAATAGGAACACTGCCACAAAATGCCACTAAAATAGAATCAATATGAGAAACTCTTGTTCGAAGTGAGTGTTCTTGAGGCAAAGCTCAGACATCTGAGACTCGAGGGTAACCTTTCAGCATTATCTGTTTGACACTGTGTTTGGTTACTCTAACAGCTCAGCTAGGGACTGAGGTATGTTGAGCAGCTTATATGAGGATGTTGGAGCTTGGAAAAACAAAACACAAATGCACCAATCAGGAAATGTTATTAAAGCAAGTGGCTGCCGGTAAGAGTAGGACAAATATATTCATACATGTCTGGTATGCTTTGGAAAGTAGTCAGTTATGTGTGAAATGCACAATGTTTTAGTTAATGGGAAAGAGCTGCAAAAACACAGGCACAATCATGCACTCAAGTGCTCTAATACCAACTTGTGACACAGCTACCCAGGCCTACCTGAATGCCTCTCAGTTAAAGCTACAATCATTGGCTGTAAATGGACTGCATTCCTATGTAGTACATTTTCTGCATTTATATAGCACTTTTCCAGTCTTTGCGAAACCCTCAAAGCGCTTTTGCATATAAGTGTGAGAATTCACCCCATTCATACAGAGGCAGAGGCTGCCGACTGAAACACACTCAGACACCGTTGGCCATGCCATAGGGAGCAATTCTGGGCAAGGTACCTTGCAGAAGTCCACTTTAATGGGTTGACTACAGGGGCTGGGGATCCAAACACAGACCTTCCAGTACAGTATGTGCATGACGTCTCCACCTCACTTACCTTATTTTACCCCATAGCTACTGTAGCACTCTCAGCCTCGAGACCTTATTTTCTTAACCCCCTTGACGGGATACCAGATCACTGTCCAATTACAAGGTTCATTTCAACTATCAACTGGAAATCAACACCCCAGGCTCCCTCCTGTGTAAGTCCAAAGGACGTTCCAGGAACAGCTTGCAGCTGCTTTTGCTGAGTCTCTGCTTGTCAATGTGTGTGTCTGTTTTCCAATGTGTTTCTTGTTGCGCTGCAATTAACAAGTGCAGAGGATAAGCAAGGCTGAGCAGTGTGTAAATGAATGATTCTGACAGATATTGTCTAGCGATTGTGTTTCATGAACATCGCTATTATCAACGCAGTGGCACACCAAGTTATTTCCCTCAGCCACAGAGGAGCAGCTGGCGACAGGTGTAACATGCTGCTCTCTAATATGAAACCCTTGAGGTCTCCGAAGGATAATTTATAATAACGTAACCACTATTCAAATATAGCTCGAGTGTTGTGTTGTGTTGTATCACCATGGTTAGCAAATGAAACAACCACTCTACTCTTCCTTTTATGAGACAAATTAACTCTCGAACAGATTGTAGGTGTCGCTATATCACAGTTCAGAAAACTGATGGGTAATAATTTATAAATGTGATGAATAATCTTCATAAATGTACTAAGGTTAGAATAAAAGATGTTTAAAGATGCTAACATTTTTGGACCTTGAAGTATTGACTTGTGACTACTATGGTGGAGATCCTGAAATGCACTACTCAGCATTTGGATTGGACTGAGAAGAAACATTTTTGTCTATGGATACATAAAATAAATGACATATTTAAAAATAAAATGTTGAAGTTACTCGACTGGCAGGTACTACCTTTGTAGAAAGTAGGACAGTAAGCTTTTGAAAAGTGACTCTACAGCTGGCAGATTGTCACTGGCAAATTCACAGCTGGGACACTACAAGCGTGCGCCTCAACAGCCCTCTACAGAGCAAGTTGGCTCCCTATACAGCTTCTGAATATTTAAATAATCCAAGAAATAAACCTATGTTATGAGGGTGTGTCATGCTTCCCTTTATGAACTACACATATCCAAAAGCTTATTTTCTCTTCCTACCTCATTCTCGCGCGATGTTAGCTATTGACAACTCATTCCCACTGACTGTCACTCATCGTGACTCTTGTTCCTCAAATGAATGATCACATAATCAGTGGCAACAACCACAGTAGTCTGACTAATCGAGTGTAGACTGCGGGTTTAAGCCTGTCAATATTCGCCCATTTCAGTCGGCATTCTCCTCTGCATCAATTTTGCAAAGGCAGCGTTCTTGCATCCTGTGCCTAGTGCTCCCCATGACCATTTTGATGGGTTTAAAGAAAGAAAAAAAAAGCCAGAAAATTGTTCTTTTAACACTATACAAGCATGATATTATGTGGAGCCAGACCTTCTTCTCGTAAACACAGTGCTGTTGAGATAGTTCTGGCTTTTCAAGACTACAACCACGGTGTAACCCAGTGGCTATACATCAAAATAACATTGGTTGTTCTTTCCCCCCCCATTAACCTGGATATAAATACTTTAAGTGTGCTTATAAAAATGGTATTGACTGTGCTGTTGTGGGTAAACAAAAGAACAGGTGGAGCAGGGTTTGCCAGAGTTAAGTTTTAAGAGCATGGAAGCAGGCCACAGGAGATTATCAGAGGTGAATGAAATACTGTATGTGAGGGCCCAAATAGTAATCTGTTAAAGTATCCTTTGCCCCTGACAAGCCCTGCCTCTCCTCTCCTCTCCAATATAGTCCTCACCTTTGAAAATGTGTTGTTCCCCCCACCAGCTGTGCCCTTTATTTAAAGGGGTCAGCAAAAAGATACAGAGTGCATGTGTGTGAGTCTGTGCATGAGGAGGGGTCTGCCTGCTAGAGGGAAGGCAGAGGGAGTAGACATAGCATGAGGAGTTATAGTCATTGTAATAGAGTTGCTGTATGTCCGATCTGACACATTTAGAGTGTTGGTCAGCTAGTGTTAGCACTTAAATTAAATCGAATCAACTATTGGTATTTAGAGCAGGGTTTGTTTCAACCTTCTATTAACTCCCCACCGGAATACTAAATTAATCCATCCTCCTATCCTATGAACTTTTTTTTTTTTTCAATAAGATGAAGGAGCAAATCATCTGCCTATGGGACATTCCCTGAGGATTTACTGTCTTTTTAAAATATTTTAGTCTACACTTGGTTTTGAGATTTATATATAACAACAAAAGACTTCCCTGCCCTGAGGGAGTGTGTGAAGGAAATCTGTACAGTAAAAGATGGATTCTTGGGATACAGACTCAGAGGACTCGTGTGGTTGGGGCGGCGACTCTGAAGAAGCATCATCGGAGGAAGATGAACTTGATGTCAAATATAATAAAGAGTAGGCAGCGATGTGTGTTGCATTTCAATAGTGATGTTTTCATTGTGTGCCTGAGCCATGAAGTGAATGGAGTTGAGAAAGACATAAACAAAGTTCGACTGTTTCCATCTTTACAGCGTTGATGAAGCTTTTAAAATTGTAATTATGTGATTCAATAACAGCAACACAGTGTGGAACAAATGTGTACATTTTGGTATTGTGTCTGATTGTGTCTGACATCTTTGCTTTTAATGACTGTTTTGAAATGCCATTTTCTTAATGTCTTTCATTTTTGTAAAGCACTTTGAATTGCCTTGTGTTGAAAGTTGCTATATAAATGACTTGCCTTGATTGTGTTTATTCTCTTTGTGTCCAGGGAGGATGTCAGGACGGCCAACGTCATCGCAGCAGAGGCAGTCACCTGTCTAGTCATCGATAGAGAGTGAGTATTATATATTGTGTTCTATGGTTAATAACTTTATTAATACTGTATTAATAAAGTTATTAACCATAGAACACAATGTTCTACATTGTAATCCTATTGTTTCTTAAGCATTGGTTCACATGGCACACATTTAGTTAGATTACATTCATTTTCAAACAAAAAAACATCAGTCGTCATGAATATGTCACATTTATATTCAATTACATATTACATTTCTACACCAGTAATTAATATTTTTCTTAATAGTTTGGATATGATGCATCTGCAGGATCAGGCTTCCCTCTCCTCTTCCATACAGTACATTGTTTGAATGTCTACTCACAAAGTTTGGGAGTGATAAAAAGTCTGCTGATGGATTCAGCTTCTATGTTTAGGACTCACCTAATATTCATGAAAATGTTTGCCAGACACAGACTTCCAACAAAAACAACAAACAACCGCAAGTGACGCCAAGATGGCATGTTTCTTAAGTCCCTCATCAACTTTAGTGAAGACATTTTGATTTTTGCCAGATTTGTGGCGGGATGACTAACAAGGTCTATTTTTTCCACTACCAAATGTTCAGCTTCACATTGCTTTGATGGTCTGGCACTTTATTACCGCGTTCATGTGTATGTATATGTGTGTGTAAGGAAACAGTCTATGAGCATCTCTGTCTCAAGCATTTAGCTGTGTGGAGAGAGTGGAGAGACAGATGGATTGGGCATAGGGAGGAGATAGTATCAGCTTACCAAGGGCCTCCCTCAGCCTCAGCCTCAGGGAACACGGCAGGCATCCTCTCAACTAGCAGAGGGGATAGTGAGTGAGTCACCAAGCTCAGGTGATTATCACTGCCTTTCACTCTGCCTAGCATACAACAGCTAATGCTGTCACAGCCCACAAAACCTGCTCATTGTGTGTGTGTGTGTGTGTGTGTGTGTGTGTGTGTGTGTGTGTGTGTGTGTGTGTGTGTGTGTGTGTGTGTGTGTGTGTGTGTGTGTGTGTGTGTGTGTGTCCCAGCAAAGCCAGTATTTGTGCAGATTCCAGGTTGTTAGTATCTAAACCATCTGTGTGCATGTCAATGATTCTTTATGTTTGTGCAATGCACCAAACCTAAACAGAGCATCTTAGGAGGTAAGATGAGGATAAATGCAAGACACTAAGAAGGAGATGGAAACAGTTGGAGAGAGATGGGGATAAAAAAAATCGACAGGAAGTCGCCATCTCACAACATGCAATAGCCCTGTAAGCAGCCAAACATTTAAAGAAAAGCTCAGCCCCAAAACAGCCGCAGCTTGCAGGCATTATAGTCTCAACAGGACAAAGCAGCAGATGTATTACATCGTCTGGCTGACAGCTTAATGAGCCTTGCATGAAAACTGTCTTATTGTCTTCCAGGATGTTTAGAGACTTCTGCATGGGAAGCTATACTTGAGCGAGAGATGAGCCGTAGCGTAGTTGGAGTGAGAACATTTTAATATCATTTCATGTTTATGGCCTAAAAAGAACACTGTTGTTTCTTTCAGTTTAATAACTTGAATTATTTGTATTCATTTGAACTATTATAATAGCCAGTGACTTTTTTTAAAACACTTAGCAAACTGTTCTATAATTCATTCAATAAAACATGCACAGCCTCTCCTTTAGGCTCTAACATTCACCCTCATCCCCAGCCTGCTATCACACTGTTTTACACCTCTTTGGAGAATCTTTACAGTGATTTTCAGAGGCTCGTCTCTAAAAGCAGACTAATGAATATTTAATAGTTACTGGCAGTGTTTTTATGGCTGTCTGACCATAAATTGCACCATCTTCTTATGAGGATATGTTGGATATTTTAACATTTGCTTTCTGTTTTGCAGTTCGTTCAAGCACCTGATTGGAGGTTTTGAGGACGTGTCCAAACAAGGCCACGAGGATGCCGATGCCAAAGCAAAGTAAGACGATTATAATTCAGTGGTATGCATACATAATCACAATAACCATTTTGCAAATATATCATTTTACTTTGAGCTTGTTTTGTTTTAAATAGACCATATTGTGATGAACCCCCAGCTGCAACATTTTAAAAAGGAGCTTGCTCTCGGCCAAGTGTTAATGCAGTATGCCTTTAGGTTTGTTATATAACCAGATAATACCCCTGAGGCAGGCCAGAAAGCAGAGGCTATGACCTCCGCCTCTATTTGTGGAGAAATTAATATGTACTCTATGTATCGTCGCTATGGAAACAAGAGGATAGTTCTATAGAAGGCACCTTGGCAATGAGGTGGTTATCTTTGTAGCTACACATCGGCATTATCGGATACCTCGCTCACTCAGTGCTATGTTTCGAGTCAAGGTGAGTTGAAACAAGAACGCAGTAATAAAGATGGCAGAGAGAGAGAGAGAGAGCAGAAAGAGCTTATCGGGGGACAAAGCAGACGAGGCTTCTGACCAACGCTTTGATTTCTAGCTGACTGCTGAGTGTTGGTCGTCTTTTGCAAGTCCGAAGAATTTAGTCAGCAAAGAGCAGAACATAACACCAGTTACTGTTGGACAGAGGCACTGAGGAAACAGAGATGACAATGAGAGGAGGGGGATGCATGGCTTGCCTCTGGCGTTCGGCTCTGGATAGCTCCCCCTCATGGCTCACGATCACTGATTATTGCCAGCAAATGTGTTTGATAGAAATAAAACCTGGTGTGTATTCTCTATCCCATTGTTCCTATCCCTGTGTCTCCGTAGGGAAGATAGTTTAAAGATTGATTTTATTGCAAATGAGCAACCAATCCTAGCCCTCATTTGTAACCCAATAATTAACCCTTTTCTCTAAAGATTAAGCCACTGCCTCCCTCTGGTCCCGGAGATCTGTCACATCAAAGTGTTTTCCACCGTGATTAAGGTAGCTCTCCCTGCCGCGTGCTGAGTGTGTGTCGTCTCTCGCTGACGCTCCCCAGCTGAGCACATTTGTTTCTTGGCGAGGAAAGCCTTAGTCAGGATCTCACGGTGACGGAAACTATCTCTAATTGGTCACAGCGGATAAGCACCAGGCAGTAGTACTATAACTACACAGCAAACTACAGCTGCTCTCTGTGAGGTTCACAGGTCCTTTCTTCAAACACTAGCTCCCCACATTGTTTCTGATCAAGCTGCTGCTTCTCTCTGCATGAGAAGCTTCACGCTACACAAAGTAGAGCCAATTAATCCCTTTTTGGTAATGGTCCTTTTATTTCTGTATGCATAACATATAGATTTGAGGTTTTTGTTTAGAGGAAAGCGATGTGAGAGATTAAAACAAGAATATTATGTTTTCAACCCATATCTTGCAGAGGTTGTTTTTTTTAAAGCTATTATTAAACCAATCAGGGACGTTGTTGCACATCATTAATGTTTTCCCTCTCCCTTAATGCCCTGTTATCTGTCCTAAAAAGGCATAACATCACATAAAAACTTCGGTTTTTTGGTGCTCAAATAAAACAAACAATACAAGCAGAACTACCCTCTAGGCTTTCATTTTCGTGATGAATTGTTTTCCTTTCAAATTGTGCATAAAAGTCTCAACTAAAAGTCTCATGAAACCAGCAGATGTCCTGTTTTGAGTATAACATTCTCTCAACGTACTGCTTATCACAACCCATCCAGCATGATGGAGATTAATGGGACAATATGAGCCAAGTATGACTCAGCATGTCCCATGTCTGTTGAGCAGGTGTAGGAGTTCAATATGTGAGAATCACTGGTAAATAAAAGTGACATTTAATGAGTCAGCTTTAAGGTCAGAGATGTTTCTTCCATCTCCTCTCCCTTGAGTCAGGCTAGACCAGAGGAAATGAGCACACACACACACACACACACACACACACACACACACACACACACACACACACACAAGACACACACACACACACACACACACACACACACACACACACACACACACACACACACACACACACACACACACACACACACACACACACACACACACACACACACACACACGGATTGCATCATTTTGTATGATCTCATCGGCTCACTGATACAGATTATCACCCACTGGGGTGCTACTTGACCGGCATAGGAACATTTTGTATTGCAGTGCTAGTATCACTCATGTAACATTGTCTAGTGACATGTAATTTTGACTTCACTAAACCTATGTACCTAACCAACTTCACAGTGTTTGGTGCAGCTAAGCAGTGTGTTTTTTTTATTCAAGTTCAACATTAAGAAATACATTTAAAGTGGATGTTTGGTCTGCGCCTGAATGTCGTATTCCATCAAACACTTCAGCCACGGGCATAGAAAAATGTCGCTCTCTGCCTATTTAAAAAAAAAAGTATGAGTATTTCTGTTACTGCTTTTGTAAATATCTTTCCTATTCATTGACTCTCCGAGAAGTGTCCTTGGAAATAGAGCAGCAGAACGTGTTTATCCTGTAAAGACTTTTCATTTCAATTAATTGCACTGCTATCTTCACCAGCTGGTTTCAAGGTTACCTTATTGTATTAACTTAAAAAGGAATCTTGCACAGAATAGACTGTATTTTTCCGCCATTTTCTACTTAAAATCTAGCTCTTTTATGCTTCAAAGGAGTTATTGTTCACCAGCTTCAAGTATTTGCTCCTTACCTTTATACTTGAAATGGATAAAGGATGCCATCTGCTGGCTGAATGACACTATTACCTTTAAACCTTTTTAAAGACCTTAATATCCGTTTATATCTGAATTTACGAGACTTCCCTTCTTATGTGTACCCATAAGTCCATGCATGCATATGTGTTGGCACTCATTAATAATCCTGTCCCACACACAGAACTCAATGTACTCTCGCTTACCTCTCTCCATCCTTTAGTTAAGCAGAGTGCATTTTGGGATTTGGAGTGTATTCTGGGATGGCATCCAGACGAGAGGATGGGAGAAAAGATAAAAGGATCACCTGTAAATCTTACATTCAAATGGTAGTGCCTGTTTGTACACAAATAAACGGGCACTGCCCTAGTAACCTAATGTGTTTCTGTGAAACATGGTGCCTTAGTAACCTGCCAACACATGCCCCTACTGTGCCCACTGGTATGTAGCTTAGGGAGAAAGGTTTTATTGTTCTGGCTGATGTATCTGGTGGATTTGCAGGAGTAAAATCCTCTTTCCACATCTCAAATGCCTCAAAGGCTGAGATGGATGTCTCATTTGCCACTTTTATTTATCAAATTGGAACCCAGAACTGTATTCATAAAATGAGTCATTGTTTAACTCTTAGATAAATAAATGTAATCCCTGCTGCGCCATGAAGGAAGACTGCTGAGTTATCTAAACAAGTCTTCCTTCTAGGGGAATGTTTTGATAAATGTCTTTCACTGGCATACTTCTGTGACGTTGAAGGCAATGGTCTGTTGTTCTGAGTGACCCAGAAAAAGGCTGTCCAGGCTCCGATCTGTCCTAAACCCACTGTTCCAGACACCGAGTTGATGAAACTCTGTCTGGATCAAACAATAAACAGGAGAACATACCGTACATCTGGGGCAAAGAAATAGACACGGGGAAGCTATCTTTACTGCCAGCATGTGCAGGTCTGCAGTGGCATGCTGGGGATGTTTGGTGGCAGAGTCAGGCAGCAGTAGAGAGCTTGGGTGACAGATCTTTAGTCCTAACATTTATGGTGCCTTTTTCCCTAACGTTTACTGGACCCTTAACACATTTCGACACTATGATTATTTTCTTTACTAGGTCTTTTTTGGCTTGACCAGCTGACAGATTGTATACTCCACTACATCATGTCTTATTCACAAAACATTCATTTAGAATATATAAGGGTGGGAAAACCATGCTTAACATCTTTATTTTGAAGAACAGTCTTTTGTAGATTCCGAAACCTTGTTAGTACTTTACTAGAGGACTGAACTCCAACACATCCTGTTCACATTTATACACTCCACATCCTCAATAACATCCTCGAAAGATTAATAAGCGTTTAATCCTCTAAGATTTGCAAACAAATGAGCTAAAGTAGTGGCGGATATTTTGTCTCAGGTTGTTGGAAGTGGATAATCTCTCCTTTCATCCTGCACCTCATCACTAATCCTGTTCCGATTCTGTCTTTTTTCCACCCTTTTTTCCTGGCACCACAGGTATGAAGCAGAGAATGCGTTCTTCTTCAACCTCAACTTAGCTGACTTTAACATCATCGACACTCTGGGAGTTGGTGGCTTTGGTCGTGTTGAGCTGGTATGGGGGCCCTGCACTGTGACAGTTCCAACTTTACAATTGTCTATGTGGGCTCATGTGGAAGCTGACTTTTTGTATTTGAATTTCTTTCTTTCTTTTTCTCACTGCAGGTTCAGCTCAAGAGCGATGAGAACAAAACCTTTGCCATGAAGATCCTGAAGAAGCGACACATTGTCGACACAAGACAGCAGGAGCACATTCGCTCAGAGAAACTCATCATGCAGGAGGCGCACTCTGACTTCATTGTTAGGTACACCTGTGAACTGCTTCATTCAAAAGGCAGTATAAATAATCTACAATGTTCCATACATTTCTCAAGGATTGTTACTTTATTCATTTAGAACCAAAAGGACTGTGGATTCTTTGTCAAGCTTATAAAGGTTTCGTCACACATTGTGCATTTCAACACAAATGCAGAATGAATGTGTGTGTGTTTGTGTGTCTACCTGTGATGTTCCTGAAACTCTGGTGATCTATAAAAGGCGTTCTTCCTGCTGTTTTGTCTGTGTATGCTGGAAGACGCGCCATCTCTTGTGACCCTGAAAGAAAAAAAGGAGGCACATCAGTGCTATGTTTATGCTACACTATAAAGGTATTCACAGGGAGTCCTTGAACTCCAGGGGGCCCCAGTTACCTCAGGGGTGCTGAATAACTGTTGCACAATTTTATAGATTCAGTTTTAGTTTTCATAAGGTTGAGTGTCTGTAAATAGACATTGCACTAACATAAATATAACATATTATTATCAAAGATACATCAGATTGTTTCACAGGCTAACAGGTCAGCTAGTTAGCTAACCTATGCTCAATCCCTGTGGGGCTACTCTCCATAACGGTGGACTAGTTAGCTATATTAGGTACTATTATATTTATAGCTTAGTACCAAATGCACCATAAAAAGGTATGCTTTTTCACAAGAGTCTATGTAGCTTTATACGTTATGGTAGGCCCAGTTTCATATGCAACTAAATGTTAAGCACATTTAGTCGGGGGTCCATGCTCCATCTATATTTTAACTAAGTAGTCCGTAGCCTAATAAGCATAACATAATCATGGACTATTGGTGGAAATACAGTTGCTCTTTCTGACCACATACTCTGTTTAAAAGATAGTGAATAGAGGCAGTTTGATGTTACATTGCTTCTTACACAACTAGTGATGGTATATGCGTTATTTAAATATTAACAGCGTGCATACAGATAAATGTTTTTATTGGAATGTCCTTTGCATATATTGATATCGTTGACAAACATTTTGTAAGAGTATGTATCAGCTCTTCTTCAACTGTGAAATATTAATTAATTACACAACTAGATATTTACCACATTACATTTAAAAACTGTTATAGTGAGACTCTACCTTTTTATTTTCTAATTTTCAGACTCTATAGGACGTTCAAGGACAGCAAGTACCTCTACATGTTGATGGAGGCTTGTTTAGGGGGAGAGCTGTGGACAATACTTAGAGACCGGTAAGCTCATTTGTTTTAGCCAAGTTATATTTCTGTTACTGCTAGGGATGCAAAGCGTAAGTATCAGAACATGTGGATAACGAAAGGTGCAGTAATAGTCCTAAAACCTAAAGTATCTGTTGTTGTGCTGTGTTTCCAGGGGTTCATTTGAGGACTCAACCACCAGGTTTTACACAGGGTGTGTGGTGGAGGCCTTCGCTTACCTACATTCCAAAGGAATAATCTACAGAGACCTCAAACCAGAGAACCTTATTTTGGACCACAGGGGATATGCCAAACTGGTAAGAGATCAATAAGGGATTACCGAAGAACTCCGAATAATTTCTTCTGTCTTTTGTTGAAGGGAGAAATCTAACCTTTTTATGACACTACACAGGAGTATCAAATTAATCTCGAACTCGAGTCTTCCATTACACTTCAACAGTTGACTTTTGTTGCGAGTAAATAATAGTATAATTAAAGTATAATTGAGTTTAAGCTGGCATTTGTTTGGGGTGCTGCCATTACCTTTCCCCGGCTGGAGAAACCAGCTTGTTGCTTTTGGCAGAGCAGCAACCAGCTGCTCCATGACTTTTATCCACCATGCCAATACATTAATATGCACATGATCTCATTCAAATAAGGATCAAATTGTTTTGTTTTGAAATGAAATACCTTTTCAACTTCATCTTACTGACAAAAAAAACGTTTTCTTTGTCACAGGTCGACTTTGGCTTTGCCAAGAAGATCGGGTTTGGGAAGAAGACGTGGACCTTCTGTGGGACACCAGAGTATGTAGCACCAGAGATCATTCTCAACAAAGGCCACGACATCTCAGCCGACTACTGGTCGCTAGGCATCCTCATGTTTGAGCTCCTAACTGGCAGGTACACTCAAGTCTATAAACCTTAGGTGTGCTTTGAGATGGCATATGGTATCATGCACAACAAAAACAATAAATAATATTTTGTATTGCATTTCTCACTCAAGACTAATATCTTGACCTGTGTTTATCTAGCCCTCCATTCTCTGGTCCTGACCCTATGAAAACGTACAACATCATCCTGAGAGGCATCGACATGATCGAATTTCCAAAGAAAATTACCAAAAACGCTGGCAACTTAATTAAAAAGCTATGCAGGTGAGTGTCTGTGCTTCTGGCGATAGTTTAGACTGAGTAATTGATTTAAGTGGCTTATTTTCATTATGAGTCATCTTTTTTTTTCTACAGGGATAATCCCTCTGAACGACTGGGAAACTTGAAAAATGGTGTCAAAGACATCCAGAAGCACAAGTAAGCATGTGTATACAAGAAAATCAAATCCTTTTAGTTGTACATTTCTCTGAGCAGATTAATTTGGTAGTTAAACATAATTATGAAATAATAAAGAAGACATGCTGTTTTTTCTTCAGATGGTTTGAAGGCTTTAACTGGGAGGGCTTGAAGAAGGGGACATTGACGCCTCCTATTATCCCCAACGTAAGTGCACACTTGCGATGCTTGTTAATATTTTCTAGTTGCTCTTTTGTAGTCACTTTCATACTCTAAATACGTTTTTCCATCGGCTTGTTAAGCCTTTCGGTTAACCTTTTTCTGTCTTCACACCAGCTCACATCAGCAGTTGACACAAGTAACTTCGACAACTTCCCAGAGGACAACGAGGACCCGCCTCCTGATGACAACTCTGGCTGGGATGTTGATTTTTGAAATCCGCTTCTCAACTTAAAACCAAAAGAAACTCTTCTTTTGTTGGCTTGGAGGCCATCTTGGGGATACGGATGTGTTGTAAAAAAAACTGCTATAAAAAGAGAGGATTTGGAGAAGAAGATAGACAGATGGATGGAAAACCCTCTGGGTCACCAATATGCCTTTATTTCACTGTGGCTCTGGATCAAGCATTTATATTGGGACTGCTGTAGCACTTCTTCAGTGTTGTCTTACACTCTGCTCTGAAGGCAAAGGAAAAGAAAGTGCAGGGATACACATAAACACACGACACAACAGAGGCTGATAATGGAGCCAGGTTTTCTCATGTAACAGGGAATTATGTTCAATGGGTGGATGATTGTTCCATAGTTTGTCTAAGTTTTGGTTCTAGGGTCAATAACAGTGAAAAATGTGGACTGCGCAAAAAAACAGAAAACGCTGATGATGATTTTTTTGTGTTGGTATCTTCGCAATATTTGGTGAAATGTTTGAAGGACATTGGATGGGTTTAGGATGTTACTTCTGGACATGCAGCTGCTTTCTGCAGACTCCGATAATTTCCAGAGATCTACACACTACAGTTTGCAAGTAAAACTGTATCAAGTGCCCAAGACTAACCTGAATGTCACATTTCCCTCTTATTTGAAGTCCATAAGGCATGCACGGTACATAGTATTTGAATTAAGAAAATACACTTCGCCACAACAAAATCAAATACTTAGTACACTTTATATAAGATACCTTGAAAAGCACAAACACTGTGCCTTGAGTGGAAAGAGACGTGAATCTTAAAAGTGCCCTCCTTAAAATGTAATGAATCACACACCGACAAACACGAAATGTCAGCTAGTATTTCCATGAAGCAATGTGTCATTATGCACTTAAGACCATTAACTGGGAAAATTAGCAGTTACAGCTCATTTTAAGCTTCAGTAGATGGTGCCACACCTATTTTCTTTAATACGCTTTTAATTTACACGTATAAATGCGTCTCTGCCTACATACTTCTTAAGTTTGTTCTGAAATCACCCAAATGCCTCGTCATCTTTTCGCCTCTGTATAGTTCTGACACAACTGTGAACATGGTTTCAATGTCTTTGGTGCTGTTATTGATACATTATAATAAGAGATGGTGAGGTGACAGTACTGGTTATTGTTTTTGTAAAGTGATTCTTTTGTGCCTGTTTTCTTTGTAACGTATACTTGACTTTGTTCTTTAGACAAATTGGAGATTTGTGTGCAATTGTAAACTCGATTGAGGCTTTATTTGACCTCACTTGACACCATGTTACATTGTGCTAAGTGGTATTCCCGAGTGCTTTTTTACAAACAGGTTAAGTTAAAGCTTAAATTAATCATCCTTGTCTTTGGAGGCATTAAACACATTCACATTATCTTAAGACTATCTTGACTTAACATCATCTAATAGATATTTTAAAAGCGAAAAAATTAAAAGGAGATTATATTCTGTGAAACTCACAACTTCGACCATTGGCGCCATGATCTCTCACCCTGCTCATCATCCCTCATGTCCAAAGATCAGAAAAAATGTAAGTGCCTTAAATCAATGGCATACAAATTTAACATCACAAGTCCTTTTCGATGCTGCATGAAAACATTTACACCTCAAAAACGTCTGTTTCCTCTTAGATGGCTGCTTCTCATCCTTTTTCATATCTAATAAATACATTAATCACCATGAAAAGAGAATTTTTAGTCATTTGATAGCTGACATGAAATTAATTTCCTGCTTACCCCTTGTGGTATATCTCACAGGAACATTCATTAAAAGTGAGATGATAATAATCTATCATACCTGATATGTCTGCAATGAAATGCTTTTCTCTACATGTCTAAAATGGTCTTAAGTAAACCACAGCTGGCCTGAGATAAAGTGAAGTATAAATCCTGGATCAGAGAGACATCCATCACCTGTTTCAGTCATGAAATGTGAGCATGCAGCAATGGCGTGAATGATTTGCAGTTTTGAACATTTCACAGCTTGGTAAACAGTATTACTCTTTACCACTGTTGACAATCTTTGACGGTATGATAGCATTGATCATAATGTATCAACATTGTTAAAATGATCACTGTTTCTCTCATATTTCATGAAGCCAAACAGACCCACACATTTCACTTTCATAAATCATTGAATGAAGACATCTTAGATCTGTGGGCATACCATGAGTATTTTCTGTTGCTGTATTAAGGGCGGGTCATGTTTATCACAAAGCCTTATGTATGCCATCACTTCACAAACCACTGGTTTTGAGTCTTATATTGACCGCCTTCTGCAATGTTACCTGATATTTGCCTTGTGTTATGTTGTTTATCTGCTGTAAATGAGTTTTGCAGAGTGCCACCTGTAAGATTTTTAAAATTATAGAGTAAAAACAATACTTTTGAGCGGTGTTTGTCTCGTAGTTATTTTGTATCCAACTCTGAATAAGTTATTAAAAACGTGTGCTGGGGAGATTTGAGTTTGATGTAATTGCCACAAGGGGGGGCTATAGGTAAGGCAGATGTAAGCTTGAGTCTGATGTGAAATAGTTAAGGTTGCCTGAGATCTAATAATCGGTCCTACAGTCAATGTCATCCACATAGCCTACTGGTAAGTGCAGATGATTCAGCTTCTCTGGTCTCAGTGTTATTCGCACAACAAATCTGTTTGGGGGACAGGGAAATGGCTTCAGTCATAACAACAGGGTGACACTTCGAAGAGATCAAAGGGGATCAAAGTGCATCAAAGGAGCTCACCTTACCAGCACTGACATTTAGTAAAGTGGAGATAAAAGCACTACTTCAAAAGACATACAGCAATTCAAACGCGCAAAGTGCTACAGTGTGTTTGTCAGGTGTCTATGGCGCATCTCTTCCTCGCAGACACACACGCATATGCACGCACACGGCACACACACATCCTCACACTCAAACATAAGCTACGTGACCAGCAGATGACGTCCAAGTGCCAAGATAGCTTCATAAACCAAAGGGGTCGTTTCCAATACGCACTTCAGCACCTGTGTTTTTTCAGCACATCCTAAACCAGACAAATTGAGCCCCCTAAGATACTTAAGAAAAACACTTTGCACTATTTCGCAACATGGGACTTAATTCACAAAAAAATATTTCAATAGACTAAGTCAACTAACTGGTAAAACGGTGATATTATATTGGGCTTGTTTTATAGACAGAAGTCAATCAAACACGTTTTTTCTAACCTTAAATGGGTTATTTCTTACAGTGGAGGAGCCCAAAGGGTCACCGAACAGGACAGATCAGAGTTGCCTTTAATCTCAAAGTGCCAGTCAACCCTGAAAGGCCTCGCCACGGAAGTCCATTAATTCGGTAAACTTTTCACACCCCTTAATGGTCTGCAAATCCCACACATTGATGTCCGCGACTGGTGTAATCAAGCACACTTTGGAGGATAATTGCCCCCTTTGCAATCAGAAGGATCAAATGAAGTAGTTAATCGACGCAAGTGACTTCAATCACTGTCTTCACACAGCCAAAGGGCAGTTAGGCTACTTGAATGTCAAAGAAACGGGAAAAACCAAACAGCATTTATAAAGAAGGGTGACAGAGTTTATGAAGAAAAATAACACAAAATCCCACATTTTGAAGAACACTGTAGCAGATACATGTATTATTTTGGATTAATTATGCCAATAACTGCCTGAAAAACATTACAAGTCGATTATGATTTAATGGGGAAATGTTACAATCAACGTTTTTTTTTTTTAAATGAATAGCCTACTGATATAAAACATGACTACTTTCGTCTTATGATGAGTTTCATTTGAAAGCGACTGAAATAGATTATTTATAGCCTACCTATCCTATTTAAATATGTAATATAATCTGTGAGACCACGTTTATTCTCCACAAATGCTTTAAATATGTTGAAAAAGCAGAATACGGAGAAAAACTGGTAAACCTTAAAAAAAGTATACTAAACAATAAAAAGGAACATATCATTTATTCACTCTTGTTTTTTCATTAATTAAAAATGTGATTTCAATGTAGATTAAGAAAGTCCATCTCTCTGGAAATACTTTATTTCCAGGACTCGTTACTTGGTGATGGGCATTCAGTGTGGGGGGAGAATGGATGGCCATTTCCGTACAGTGGGTCTCTCTTTGAAATTCCACCCCTCCGCCTTTGTTGTGCACAGCGAGGGGCGGGAAGACAAACAGGTCCACATGTATAAAGAGATCAACCGAGAACTGTGAGTCAGTAGGCTTCGACAGCATCCTGTGAAACTCTCTGGAAACTTTGGGATTCAGGATTTGAGTTCGCTTTTGGACTTTGCCACTTTTTGAATTTATTAAAAATAAATTGGGTTTTTTTCCCCCGTGTGTTTACAACACAGCAGATTAAAAGCGAGAATCATGCAGATACCGGCACACCGCTTCTTGGCTCTGTATCTCACGCTGTTTGGATACCTTGGGGATGTCTACACGGGAACAGTCCTTGTAAACTCCAATGCTATCAAGAACCTGCCCGGTGCTTCGGGGGGTAAAGGCTCCGACACTGTCAGCCCGAGTCCGCGCACCTCTCCCTCCGGAAGCTTTGGACACAAATTACCCGTGGACACCTTGCAGGTAATTACATTTCCCGTGCGTAAAAGGCATTCTCTGCGCTAAGGCAAAAGTCTTGTTATGTGAGTTTCATATGTGATATATCATTCCTAAATGACACCCTTTACTTGTTTTATCACTATAGCAGTCAGCTGTTTGCACGGGTGATGAAGACTGTGGAGGTGATGAATTCTGTAACGACGCTCGAGGCGCCTGTCTGCCCTGCCGTAAGAGCCGGAAGCGTTGCGCACGGGACTCCATGTGTTGCGCAGGAAACCGCTGCAGCAATGGTGAGCAGAGGCATCTTACCTGAAACAAATGCTGTTATTTACGATTTACTCAGTTGTTAATGATAATCTGATAACTGTGAATAATTTTCTTGTAGTCATATGCAATTATGTGTTTGCATGTTTTGCTGATATCCTTGTATCCAAATCTGTATAGTGTCAAATACAAACCCTAAATGCGTTTCCTTCTTTTGACAATTATAGGTGTTTGCCAGGCAAATGACATAGATGGTGCAGATGCATCCATCGTCACAGGCTGGCACAAACACAACAACACCATGGAGCATCATACTAAAAAGCCTTCCACTGCCCACAACAATCAGCCTATTTCTACAAAAGGTGAGTTAAGATTATTCAAACTTGATCAGGTTTCATTTAGTAATACCACAAGCAGTTTCAGTAAAGTGTCTTTCATACAACATATTTTAACCTCTCTCTTTTGATCATCTTTTTCCAGGCCAGGAAGGGGATAATTGTCTGAGATCTGCAGACTGCTCTGAGGGTCTGTGCTGTGCCAGACACTTCTGGTCTCGTATCTGTAAGCCTGTGCTGACGGAGGGCCAGGTGTGTACGCGTCACCGCAGGAAAGGCACCCATGGTTTGGAGCTGTTCCAGCGCTGCGACTGCGGAGACGGTCTATCCTGCCGACCAGAGAAAGGAGAGCGAGACCTCAGTGTCAGCAGGACAGCCCGGAACCTACACACCTGTCAGAGACGCTGACACTAAAGCGTGAACACACAGTGACAAAGAAACACACACACACATCCTGCAAACCAACAAATCAGTCATATACACTGACATACACTTTTCAGCTTTCATTCCACCAGAGATGCTGACACAAAAACACGTAGACACCCAACACCTAAGACATTCTTTCCTGCCAAAGTTGCTGACACAAACAGCACCCGGAAGGATGGACATGATTCCTGGTAAAGTGATACACCCAGAGGGATGCAACAGTGCAAGACAGACTGATCCAGTTCCCCATTAATAGTCGGAAGTTAGGAAGTGATATTTCAGAAGTCTTGGGGAGATCGATTCATGTCGTCGGTAATGGCAGAGCTGTTTTGTTTCTCTTTTTATGGAACTTCAAGCCTCAGTTATTGCAGTAAATTACTGCATTGTAAATATTATCCAGGCACTTAATTGAGCTATTGAATTCTGTCAACACCAGTATTATAAAGACATGGTGCTGCATGCATTGTAAATCTGTTATATATATTGTTTTATAAGAAAATGTTCTATAGAAAATGTGAATATATTTGTTTTATTAAACAACATTCAATAACCTTACTCTTTTGTTCTGGAAATCTTTTTGTGTTAATAGTTTCTCTGATCTACTGTGTAACAAAAAGAAATGTCTTATGGGAAATTGTTTCAGAGAGGTTTCACTAAAATTGTTTCAAACATATTTTTTACCGCAGATGTTAGGGTTCAAACCATTTAGTCCAAATATTCACTTAAGGGTTGTTACCAGTGGGTAACATTTCTTCTAGAATAACAATTTTCCCCTTTTGGAAAGCAAGAGTTATTTGAACAATCACTTGGTGGTGTAAAACCCATAGCCCAGTATTCACAAAGCACGAGTTGAGGTTGAGTGGATGGTTACAATGTTTGGCCCATATTTGTTTCTCCAACCCATTACACACAATTACTGGGATATATGCAAACACACTCGCAGAAAACATACTTACAACAAACAACACACTTTCCTGAGTCAGGAGCCTCAACAGGCCACATCCTGCTATAGGAAGCAGATGATGGTCCATCAGAGCTATGTCATCAGACGTATGATGAAAACAGGACAGGATGCTGCCATATCAAATGATAACTGCAAAGGGGTAATAACAAAGTGTGTGTGTCCTGGCGAGTGTTTGCCACCTAACCCTTTGGTGTTGCTGGCTAGTTTCTAATTATAACATCCCTGCCTTCATGTGCAACAGAGCAGATAGCCAGCTATACAAACCTCTAATTACTTCATCTTACTCAATCTACCAAAGGATTCATGAAATGAGGTGCACCATCATTTTTGTGATGCAACAAAATAAGAAGATCTTGGTTTTCAATCTGTTCAATTGCACAGTACACCCCGTTTCCTGGCTGTTGTGCAATGGATGTGCTCTAATGTGAAGGCTATGAATCCATCCAGATACACCTTGGTGCCTGTAATTAGACGTGTTTAGATTAGAAGATGGGGAGGAAATTACTGTACTTTCTGCTTGATTCTTGTCAGATCAAAAGGAGCACACGCCACTCTTGATATCTGACCCAGCCAGTAACCTCTTCATCTGTTTACTTCCACAGACATTACATTTAAGTTGTCAAAGGAAGCAAGGTGAGGTTAACTTAGACTCTGATTGAGAATCGGTTCAAAAGTAACTTATGTCATTTACTCAAGGGCTGCACTTAAGTATAATTCTGAGGTACTTTATCATTCTACTTCTCTACTCATCAGAGGGACACTTTGTACTCTTTACTCCACAACATCTAACTGCTGGCACCAGTTACTCAATAGGTCGTTTTTTAAGAAGCTATA